CAAATATGAAAATCGCTCCAATACTTTTCGTGTTACAGTAAAATACATTAAAATGGCGGCCATTTTTCTCAAAATGGCCGCCTTCTATCAAAAGTGTCATCAGACAGTGTGCCATGCTTATAGTATTCACATACCAAATATGAACAAAATCGCTCTAGTACTTTTCGAGTTAAAATAGCGAGTGAAGGTCGCCATTTTTCAAGAGGGCTGCCATGTGCTGCTATAATACCTACATTTCTAGCTTTATTAATGTCCTATATAATTTTTTTTATTTTAAAACATATTGCTATAAAAGGTTTACATATTGTACCTAAAGGTAAGGTAAGGTATATGTGTACAAGATATGAACAAAATCGGGCCAACGGTATTTGAGTTATTGCCCGGACGGACGGACGGAGGCGTTCCCTATATCCCTCCGAACTTCGTTCGATGGGATAATGAGCGATAAAATAGTAGGTTGATCTGGCAGCTGTTAGTCGAATTCGTGAATACTACTTTTCATGGGCTTTCAAAGCCCGTGGTCAACTATGTAGTTTCTTCATCCTAGGTCAAATCCACCCAGGAATGCCCTTAAGGTCAGGGTGCATGGTGGGAAATTTTCTGCATTCCTCAATTGAGTCACATGTTATTTTTCCACCAAGAATCAGTCCTTCCCCATATTGTCTATATCTTCCAGTTTTGCACAAAAATTACACTTATTTGCCTAGAAAAGACTTGTGAGAAGAATGTTTTGATTAAGTGTATAAAAAAACGAGAAAATTCAGTGAAAAAAATTTTCTGAAAACTCTGAATTTTTTCACTGAATTTTCTTGTTTTTTATACACTTTATCAAAATATTATGCATTTTCTGAATTATTAGAAACGAGGTAACTTTCAATATTTTAAATTCTAATTCAATATTTTAGACTCTGATGAATTTCAGTTTTCACAAAGCGTTATTTATCTGTGGCCCAGATTTGAAAAATAGCATAGGCACAAAAACCTTGTAAAAGAGAATTATTGAAAAATCAAGCATATCATATGGTATCAACACCATTACTTTTACTTTTATTCACAATGAGAAAATATGACTAAAGAACATAGGAAAATTAATAAGCTTTTCAACACTACGCACTAGCGTTTTGGCGCATATTGTTCCTACGCCACTGTATCATATATATTACGTTACGTACACTCACAACTTACCTTGCACCGGTTTTATATCTCGTGTTTTTTATATTTGCACGAAATATCCCGCTCTCCATGGTATATACTAACTGAATTCTTAGGTGGAGGTTCATTCCCTACCAAATGAGAGAGGCGTCTTTATGGAGAGAATCAATTATGGCAAATTCCAAAATAATGGCGATGAGATATAAGGGTGTTACAAGGATGTTATTAACAAGACAAAGGAGAGTCCAAAAAATGGCCGTGCTTACGCGCAAGAAAATTAAGGGCCAAAGAAATATAATGCTTAATGCCAATTTTTTTCAAATGTCTATTATTTGGTTGATTAAGAAAGAAAAAACTCTAGCCAAATTATGGCTTGTAAATGGCTTGTTCATTTGGATTTTTGGAGAATCTTTGGAATTGAAGATTACCATGTACCAGACACATATAAAATGTCTCTGCATGAACAGGCCATTTTTGATCAATTTGGTTTGCAAACAAATTGCAATTATTGCTACCACTAAAAAAACGAAGAATTGATGATTATTGTATACTAGATAGTATTCATTGTAATCGTTTAAATGCATTCTATCAGCTCGATTGGTGAATCACTATGCCAGGGCAATACAATCTAAAATTGCTTCAAAATTGATAAAATCAATAAACAAAGATAAAATCATTGATTATATCGAAAACCCCATTTACTTGGAACATACTAAAGATTATTTAGCCACATGATGTGTTATAATTACAAGTAAATCACTGGCGAATCCAAGGGAGGGGGCTTGGCCCGGGAATTTTTTTAAGACCCCAGAAAATTTTGAAGGGCCTTTGAAATGGGCCTTTTTGGGCAACTTGGCCTTTTGGTCATTTTTAGGCCAATTTTCAAAAATGGGCCTTTCTTTTTCAAAATTTGGGCTCAATTTTTTGTTAAGGACCCAGACTTAAAATGTCCTTGCTAGCTTGCCCTTGCTAGCTCCACCAGTGTAAATGGTATTTGTCACTTTGTGACACTCAAATGTTAGCCTTGGTCATCATTTTTAGTAAAGAAATTGGCCAATATGTAGTTATTTGCACCCTAATTGACATCAAAAATTTTTGTTCATTCTGGAAACTAATTTTTCAAAAACCAACTTGAATGTTCGAACGGATATTCTGCAATAATCGTCAAAAGGTGAAGTGTCGTTTATGATTTCCATTTATTAATTTAATAAGTTATTGAACTTCTTGAACGCACAACACGATTTGTTTTTCTCTTGGATTGTTATGTAAACCCTTCATCCGTGGTATTATTTACTCTACCTCAGGTAAGCCCTATAACAAAGACATATCATGTATGTTTTATCATCGACTTACAGAAATTTCTTTTAATCCATGATATTACATGAGTAGACTTATATGTCCCTTTTATATACAAATATTTAAAATTGAGATATTGTGACTAGTAATATGAAATAATAATTCGACTAGGGAAAAACAAGTTATAAAACTATTAATATCAAAACAAGCCCACGAATCCACGTACTGGGAGCCGCATGGACACATTCCATGAAGGTCATTCAAATTGGGGTTCAATTGGGGTTACATCAGAGGTAAATGTGAAAAGTTTTTAAAGTCCAATTGGGGTTACATCAGAGGTAAAATGTGAAACGTTTTTAAAGTTCAATTGGTGTTACATCAGAGGTAAAATGTGAAAAGTTTTTAAAGTTCAATTGGTGCTACATCAGAGGTAAATGTGAAAAGTTTTTAAAGTTCAATTGGGGTTACATCAGAGGTAAAATGTGAAAAGTTTTTAAAGTTCAATTGGGGTTACATCAGAGGTAAAATGTGAAAAATTTTTAAAGTTCAATTGGGGTTACATCAGAGGTAAAATGTGAAAAGTCCCCAATGTGAAGTTTGAAAATATGTTTTTATTATTCATTTACAATTTGACATGACTTTAAAAGTTATTTTAGAGATTTTTGAAAAACGCAAATATTGAAAAAAGGACACACTATGCAAAATATTAAAATGCCACATCTTATGTTCAGTTTTAGTATATCAAAAATATTTTGCAACCTATGTAACATTGAATTGAAATTGAATTTTTTTTTCTATGTCAATCTTTTCTAAATATGCTAAACTTAAAAATAAATCATCATTGATTGTTTAACCAGGTCAAAGGGGAGAATATATTTTGTTTTAGATATTATTGTACCATTGGTTTCTGTGAGAACTAAAATTTTGAAATGCCTTTTTCTCTGAACCAAATTCACAATTTTGCGAACAAAAAGTCCTTCAAAAACCACTTTTTGAAATTAAAAAGTTTTGCATATCACACTTTGATAACATTGGGTAAGACTGCAATATCAGCCAAAGTGAATTAAACTTTATATGGATGCTTGTTATTGAGCGATGTGTCCTCCTCACATCTGATTTGGTAACTTGACATCTGGCGTGCATAGCCACGTGGGGCTACGTGATATTCCAAGTTACCAAATCAGATGTGAGGAGGACACACTCCATAACAGGCTTTAACAATTTTGATATATGTTGTTAAATTCAGGAGAAATAGGAAGGATCGAAAATGGCATGAAATGAAGTAAAAATAAACCTTACCAGCCAATAGATAGTTTTAAACATCAGCAACATTGGGAAAAGTTTCAGCCCAAGAATAAACACTCTAGTTTGATCATGGGCCTTCTTTTTCAAGCCCATAATTCGGTTAACCGAATTTTTTGCTGTCAAGCTAAATAATTACTTTATCAGAAAACAATTTAACACCTTTAACAAAAGAGTCAAAGTCTGACAGTTGGTAAAAAAAGATGAATAATGTTGACTTACATCTTGCAGGTAAAAAGAATTTTAAAACTCATATGTTGTCAAAACAGGTGTGAACCGAATTATCAACAAACATATATGTACATCTTATTAACCATAACTAATTTTATTCTCTTGACCGAGTAAAAAATTGTTTGTTCTGATTTTTTTTATTTCCATGTGACTCATTGTACAAATTAAATTTTTTCACACTGAGACACAATTAAGTCTGAAGTGTTAGCAATGAATGTAATTTTTAATTAGAATAATATCTAATATAAAAATATATATCGAGAGGTAAGGAAATCGCCCCTCAAACGACTGCATAACCATGGATATACACAGTATTCAAGAATGCAATCAAGTCAGTGAATTCCTATGTTTTTTTGTCATAAATCCAGAAACATTGTATAATTGTATTCTGAAAACCCAAATCATCTGATGAACACGTGAAAGTTCTGTGACAATCAAACAACAGAAAATGAATAAACATCTTACATTATATAGTCGAGCATTATTAATGGAATTATTCTGCTGGAAATGGAAATTTGAATCAAAATATGCACTTATGCGAGATAATACCACACAAGTAATGCATTACTCTCAACTGCATAGCTTATTGTTACACTGAAGTGTGGACCTACCGGTATGGATTTGAATAATGGCATATGGAATAATAAAAATTGATGACATGGAAAATTTCGAATTTTCGGTAATGAATGACTATTGACTTGCATAAGTGTCTTATGACGTCAACAAAATCCCCGATGGCAAAATATTTGCGTAAGATATAAGGAGATTAAAAACTGCAAAGTCATTCTCAAATACTGTGATCAATTAAAATATTACTTCTATTCAGAATGACAAAATAAAAAGTTCATGACTTATGATTTCATTTTCGTAAACCTAGCAACCTGGTTGCGGATTAAATTATAAATGTATTTTTTATCACGTTTAAAACGTCTCCCTCTATCCTTATTTTCCCATCCTGGGTTTTCGGATATTCAGCTTTTATTTTGCATTCATAATAGGGCCCGGGATATAGTTTGTACAAGAATTCAAATTGAAATTACGGATATGATGCGATTCAATTATTGAGATTCAAAACAATGATACCTAATCTCTGTCTTTTTCAAAAATATGTGATTCGACATAATCATGAATAGTCTCTATAAGTCCACAGTTTTGAAAAAAAAGATTTATAAGTGAGTTTAATTATAAGAAATTAATTCGCGTTCCAGAAATAAATAACATTGACTTTGAATATGTAAGTATAAATTTTCAAGACAATGGAATATGTCTGGCTATGTTTCTTTTTAATTTCATTCGCTGGATCAGAATGTCTGCCTATTTTGCTACAAGAAAGGTCCCTCCCAAAGGTGTTGTCGGTTTGAGAGACTTTCATGCATAACGTATGCAAATCTGCTAATGCTCGGCCTATTCATTGGATCAAAGCGTCAATACAAAGGGTCTTAGCTAAATCGGGATTATTGATATGCGGATGGGGTGACGTCGCGAAATTTTGATACAGCCGCATGTCTGGAGCATTTAAAGAGACGCAAAACGCTTTTGGTATCAGATACAGAGGTTTCTACAATGGATGGAGTCGGAAAAGACGAGAAAAATAGTGATGAGGATAAAGACTCTTCATTGCGAGATATCTTGGGGAATTTCGCATCTTCTACTACAGCTCATGGATGTGAAAGAATCGACAAGTCAACTTCTACCATTGCTAGGGTGATATGGGCAACTATATTCATTGGCTGTACTATCGCTGCCATCGTGTGTATCGCAGCGCTTTTGGAGAAGTACTTCCAATACCCTTCAAAAGATGTTTATGAGATGAATAGCGATAAAATAGAGTTTCCCTCTATAAGTTTCTGCAGTTTGAAGCCAATCGTTTCTTCTTACAAGAAACGCGTTGCTAAAATGGAACCGGGGAATCCTTACATGGAAATAGACAAAGCTATCAAAAATATAGACGGTGTTTTAGATTATCTTTCCCAAGAAAACAACACACAGAACAATCTTTACCAGAGACTGAAAGAAATGTATTATCTTTTCGCTTCGTACACGTCAATGTACATCCATGCGACTGATGAGACTCGAAGTCTTGGACATCAACTGGAGGATCTTCTGCTATCATGCAAGGTCAACATGATGTCATGTGTTAATATGCCAGACGTTAAGATAAAGCAATTCGACAATGCACTGTATTGGAATTGTTACACGTTCAATTGGAAGGATTATAACACAACTGGTGAAAGCGAACCATATGTAGAGATGGTCGGGGGCCTTAGCGGCTTTCAAGCCACATTCTTCTTGGATAATATCGACACATTGGAAAGCTACTACAATCCAATGTGTCCTATAGATGGTTCCGTCGGAGCAAAGCTTATCATACATCGACCAGGGAGCAGGCCAGATCCTCTGCGTGAAGGTTTGGAAGTGCCGGTAGGATTCAGCACAAACGTGGCAGTCTCAAAGAAAAAGCGCGAACTGATCGGTCAACCCTGGGGCGATTGTGAAAACCGGGAAAAACTTGACGGGGCACCGTATAGATACGACCAGGCGAATTGTGAACGCGGTTGTCAACAGAAGGAAATAGTCAAGAAATGTGGATGTGTGTCTCCTTGGCTTCCCGTTTCTGATGAACAGAAGAACATTTCGTGGTGCGGTAAATTTAATTTGGATAACTTTAATAGTGCTTCGCCAAATTTAACAATTCTCGACAAAGACCTTATTCCATTTGAGTGTCATATGATGATGACGAAGATGACACCTAACGTTACAGAATGTGATTGCCCTCCTGCTTGCGAGAATCATATGTATGAATATAAGACCTCGCAATCCCAGTGGCTCCTTGGTGGGAATCGGCTAAACTTCTATCAAAGTGTTGTTAACCGTATGGGAGACTCTTATATCAACTCCTCAATGTACCATCTTCTTGACGCGGCGCTCAACTCAAACGACAGCGCAGAAAACTTTAAGAATCGAAATTTGGTTTCACAGAACTTCCTTCGTGTCAATATCTTCTTCGATTCTATGCATACAGACCTCATACGGCGAGTTGAAGAGTACACCTTTACTGATATGATATCGGGCGTTGGTGGTGGATTTGGCGTATATGTCGGCTTCTCTATCGTCACCATGTGCGAATTTGTCGTGTTGTTTGCCTCCCTAGTTACAGCATTGATACAGAGGTATGGACTCCGGCAAAACAAAGTGGCAATGGAAAGTGCACCAACTCACGTTCATATAATACACGTGAAACATGCAAACAATCATCTAGCAGATGTGGACTGAACTAGTACTATGAAACATGTAGGCAGTTTCTGAACACCTCTTAGTCCCACCTTCTCAATTTACCATTGAAGTCCATGTTAAACAAGGCCAACGTGCAAAATGTCACCACCTGTCATCTGTTACACGAACTCCGAAGGCCAAACACTGTTCACAAAAATGTTGGAGACTGTAACAATATGTCACCGCTTGTGGTGGTGGCATAAAAACTCAAAATTTGGACACCGGCAAATCTACTTTTGGCCGGTCCCAGTGGCATTCAGATTAGACTGGTTTTACTATATTCTGGTATCAGACGTGTCATGGTAGACTTGTTCATGCATTTTATTGCATATGATCGTGTGGATCGGGGAAAGGACTTAACAAGTCTGTAAAGATTAAAAAACCCTTTGGCCTTTGTTGTGGTATTACTCTTTGTGAAGATTTTCTTGATTTTAAAAAGGCCAGAGAAAAATTATTTAAAACTAATAGTTTTGAGTGAATTCAGTGCTAAAAAATTAGAATAGTATGTAGATGTACATGTCACGTTCAATTTACTTGATAAAGATTTATCAGAGTATTTAATAAAATATTTAAACATCAAAGTATTAAAATATATTTGTGATTAATAACAAGTGAACATAGAACATAGTATAAACATGGCATTAGCATGCAAAATGTCACCACCTGCCATTTGTAACATACGCCGACTGCCGAACACCAAACAACAAGCGCCGACTGCCAAACACAATCCACAAAAAAGTTGGAGACTGTAATAATATGTCACTACTTCTGGTGGTGACAAAATAAATGCAGTTCATATTTGCATTGTTTTTTAAAAGGACAGCATGCATTCACATGTAGTAAGATACTTATCAGATGCAGTGTTTAAAAGTACACTTTTAACCATGTAAGAGTCTGAGTGACAACACCTAAATGTTTAATTTGTCCAATACGATGTCCAGGTTTGATCCATTATAGTGTCCACTAACGCTAATTAAGTGCAGAGCTTATAAAGTGTATTGATCTCCTTCTCGTAATCCCCAAAGGGTGTTTCTAGAATCATAGGAATGTTGTTGAAACGTGGATCATTCATAAGACGTTTAAATCCATCCTTACCAATCTTACCTCGTCCTATATTCTCATGTCTATCAAGATGGCAGCCTAACATACCTGAAGATATAAAAACAGAGAAACTGCTTTGTAAAAACACTGTTCATTCAACTTTTAGTACTACTTTTACCTCTAAGTAAGTTGATTTGCTAAATCAAAAGAGCACCTCTACAATTGATTTGAGCTTGTAAAATCAGAAGATTTGAGCTCGTCAAATCAGAATACGGGTGATCAACATCCAGTTAGTGAATGGCAGTCATCAAATATTATGCTTTCATTAGAATCTGACATACATGTATATTTCATATTGAAACTCCCATTTAAATCTATTACAGCTTCTTCTGGTGTCATTTAGAACGCATTAGCATCTAAACTGTGTATTTATTATCTCCTATTTTAAACCTTAATTACATTTAGGGAGGGTTCATCATTCATTCTAAAGGGAAAGTTCAATTTTGGGGCTAATCAAAATTCCATGTATATAACAAGTATTATAATGCAGTAGTAGACCTTTGTTAATCCTTAAAAACACTAAATAGACAGAAGTGCAAATATTACTGTTGTTTTGACATTTGACCCAAGGACCCTCTAAATATCTTCACATTTTCTCAAAATAGTCCTCCCTCATTTGCTTTCAAGTTAAAGATGATTTGGAGAATTTTTGGAACATTTTTGGGGAGTACAAGACGAGACTATTACCTAAAACCTTTAGAAAACTAAGAATGTGTATTGAATCTCGTGGTTTGCACGTTTTGCTATATTTTGATGTTACATAATGAACTTTTAAGAGAAAGGTTTTCCAAAAGTTAGCTATTTCTTCCCTTTGTTGCTTCTTTCAATAACAAATAAACTATGAAACAACATATCAAACAAAGAAACAAAGAATTCATCTATATGGACAAAGAACCTGCTGAAAAAGATGAGATTTCTCAATTTTTTACCCGCAAAAAATTGCAATGCTCTACACTGTTAACTTTTTATTTAACAAATATCTTATCTCTACACTTTTTCGTTATTGAAAAACATTTGAGAGCAAAATCTAAATTCTGGAAATACAATATGTCAGAGTATACATTGTGTTAGTATGACCATTCAGTCTTTTGATAGTTTCTTAGTTAATAAATCTTTGTAAAATGTGAATAATGTTTTACTGGCTTCTTTACAAGCAGCCAACGCTGTTTTTAATTGTTCTTTGCCATAACTTCCAAAACTTGTTGTAGCAACTGTCTCATATGATGTACTCTCAAACACAAATGTGAATGCTGCCTTGCATTCTTTTTCTTGTCTCAAATTAGGATTCAGAATAAGTTCATCATCTTTATCAAACACGCATGTCACTGCAGCGACTGTGAATTTTTGAGGAATGGCTGCATCAAGTAGAGCAATGGATGACGCATTGATGCAACATGACAGTAAAGAACCAGAATCTTGAACTTCCTGCGTGATGATATTGATTGCTGTTCTTGGATGTAAACTCCCGACTATGCTTGTCTCACATATATTCCTTATCATTCTCTCATCCACCTTCTCATCACAGCCTGGTAAACCGGATTTAGGTTTGTAGACAACATCAATTGTTGCTTTTTCAATCTTCTCACGACTAAGCTTTATATCACCAGGACCATATATGGCTGCAATAACTGATGTGTCACCCTGAGTCAGGACGCTCGAACCATCAGGGCGCGACAAAAAACCCAACTCTGCTTTCATAGCCTGAAGTGTCATTTTTGTGAGTCTAATGGAAGGACTGAATACTTAAAACAGCCTACCTGGAAGTATATGAATCAGGTGAAACGTCATTACAATTTATATATATGCGTCTAAGCCATGGACTTTCAACTAGATTATGTGAGAGATTGATTTTGGGCAACCTCGATTTTTAAAAAAAAATTCAAAAATAGAACTATGGTTTTCCAAGCTTGATGCTTTTCTAAAATTATTCAAACCGCATTTGTATAAATCATATAATTATTATTCTATGATAATTAACTATCAATTTATTCAACAAACACATAAATTACCTGTTTTTCGATGATATAGTTGACAAAACAGTTTACATGTGACTTTTTCTCTGCTGGATTACGTTAGCAGTGAACTGTTCTGACATCTATGAATGACAGATAAAACTAAAAATACCCTGCGTGTTGCTGTGATAAGGCCAAGCAAAATAACTCTTGAATAAAAGGTGCAATACAATTAATACAATTAAGAGTTATAAAATTGAAATACAAACCACTGGATCAGTCTAATAACAAACTGCATCACAGGCAGTAGAAGAGATATATTCAATTTTTTTTCTTTCGGTAGGGCAACTCGTGGGGGGGCAACTCTACTATGCATAATCTGTGAGATACATTGTCACTAATAGTATGTATATTGTATCTGTTGTAGTGCTTGTGTTGATTATCTTTCTAAATACTGTGTATGATCTCAGCTCATACTCCGACATTATCACCCAGGTATTATCAAGGGCTATCAAGGACCTTTAGTCAAGACAGTGAGTGTCCACATGCAATTTACTTTGTACCATTACAGGTATACAATTCTTAGAAGTATGATACATATTGGCATTAAATTGGCATGTAGTGAAGTTAAATAATTTCTGTCAAGAGTCAGAAGTTTTGAGTAGATATCATTAAATACCATTTTAAAAACAATTAATATAAAAAGAAGGTCAATTTAAAGTTTAAATTGCTGTTGCACTAAGTGAATGAGCATTGTGAAGAAGTTTCAATTGTAATCTAAATTGTCAAAATGCTGCTGTGTTAAAAATAAATACTTCTGAAGTACATATTGATAAAAAGAAAACAAGGTACACACACCAGCCAGCCAGATGGACATATTCAGTGCAGCATTATAGCATTAAACTATGAAATAACGAGTCTCTTTAAAAATCTTTAAGATCTGACAGATTGAAATTTATGCACAGGATATAGGATTATGCACACTGTATATATTGGATTAAAGAAGTAAACAACAGAAAAATGGAATTTATTCTTTTATAGTAAGTATATCTATTGACCATTGGCAAGAAACTCGAGTAAATATCTATCACTGGACATGTACATGTATGCCTATGCAAATACTTTAATTATCTTTTTTATTCACCCTTCGGCCGAAGCATGTACAGAGTGTATGTGTATGGTAGATTTAGGCACTGGTTGATTAGGGGGGCCTTCCCCCAAAGCTTGCCCCAGAAAAAATTTAGGCACAATTTTTGGTTTCAGGGGCCCAACATTTTCAAACTTGAAATTTGCCACCACCCTTATTAGTTTCCAGATCCGCCCTTGCTAGGATGGACTTATTGAATTCCATGGTTAAATATAAATTATCTTTATTCATCAAGATGGCAAACTCGATCATTCATGTACTTATCCAGTTCCAGGATTTGTTAATTACATCAAACAAAAAATATGAAACGACCCTTGATAGCAAGTTGCATCTACATCCCAAGCTGTAGTGTAGTACCCCAGCTGTAGTGGCTTAAGCCTTTATAGCTCAGTCGATAGAGCATCAGACTTTGGGTCCAAGGGTCCTAGGTTCGATTCCCACAAAGGACATTGAATTTAGCACACTTTCTTTCAATTTCTTCGATCCAGCTTTTTACACTTTTCTCGTTAGTTAGTCATTCCCCTGGGGCGCCCTCGGGTCATTACAAATATAATACACAAATACTTGGGTCCAAAAATACAGTTATTAAGTATTTTAACATCACGTTTCGAATTTGTGTGCTGTATCCCAGAATTCACCCATAGTCACAGTTTGTATATTACACTACATTGGCTGATCCAGAAGCTAGGGGTGTGGTGCACATTTCAAGTCAGAAAAAAATGTCCACACTTGCGAGGAAAAACTTTTTGAGCCTACATGTAATACCAATCATTGGGCCAACATTTAAACATAGTTTTAGTAATCCTTGGCCTCAGCAAATACAGTCTATGTAAAAAGTACCCTGGGTAGAATATGAATCTAGAAGTGCAGACCCAAGTTTGGGCCTGGGTATTTGTCACAATTTAGTGGTATAAAAAAATTACGTAAACATTCTGATTTTAATTTTATTGGATTGTGTGGGTGGTCATTCACCACATTCATTGCATTGTAATTTGTCATCCAAAGTACACTTGCACTCAAGCAAATTGGGACTATTTTCTGTACCAATTCCAGAAATCTGTAATTTTGCATAAAGTAACAAAATGTCAGAGTCAAATGTTCAGAGAAGAACTCACAGAAGTGGAAACCGAATGCCAAGGAGTCGAAGTTGGACAGGGTCTGTGGAACACGTTGTACGACTGCCGTCTAGACGCCGCGGAAGCTTACAACCGGATCACTTGCAATCAGCCTCTTCACTGTATAGTCCCTCCGCCATTGTAAATCGTAGAAATGTTCACAAAAGTTCTCCAAATGTTATGATGGCTAGCGAACGTGGAAGACGAAATGGGCCGATGAAAATCCGTTTAACAGGTAAATACCTATATTATCTTGATGATTACTGATACGATTTCCAAGAAAAACCTCGGCAAAGAACAGTTTGAGAGAAAAAATGAAATGTTTCAAGTTTCAAAAATCAAACATGGCTGCCAATTTTTTTTTCAAACAAAAATATTGAGATCTTACAAATATCTGAAACGTTGTCAATTCACAGTTGTATTTCTTTAAACAATCAAGTTATCCTTACCAATACTTGGCCTACAGCTATGATCGATTAGTTAGCGGTTTGGTAATTGCTTGCATTCGACTGACTAAAGTAAAGCATGGTGGACAACCAAGTTCATGATTTTGAAATTGGATCACCAATTTCAGAATTTGTGCATGAAGTTCCTCAGACTCCTCCATTCTCACTCACACATTTGGTATTAGAGGAGGGGTCGAATGACTTGATATAGTAATGCTCTATGTTTCTTGAATTGAGTCGGATATAATACCAACAGTATAAAGTCTAGCCTGTCAAATGCCACCTGAATGATGGATTGTCACAGTGAGTCACTAAATGAGCTTCATCTTGTAGATCCATGTCACGTGAACATGCAAAAATATCAAAAAAATCTTTCAGCCAGAAAAGCTTGTCAGAAAATGGTTTCCACATCATCTAAATCATTCCGAAAGAAATACACAAAATCACTCATCAAATAAGAAGTTCGCAACTCCTCCGTCTTTTCCTCAACGTTAGGCAATTGTAAGGTAGCCAGTTAGCCTGGTGTAATTTAATGATGACTGCCATGCTTCATGTTCGAATTGACAGTTTTGTAGTATACAGTCTTGTATCAATGTCAGAAATTGTGATGAAGACTGTACAAGTATCTACATGAGAAGTTGTGCAACTCTCCCTCTATCTTCAATAAGGGACATGAATGTTTTGTATAAAAAATTACTGTCTATTGATATTTCAACATTGAATATGGAATTCAATAAGAAACTGTTCTACTTGATTTGTAGTCTAGAATTTCTGCCGTGTCTCACTTATTTTCATCCCATGAGACCAATACTTCACCAGATATCATATTCTATTGATTTACATGTAGATTAAAACACAGTACTTTGAAAGCCTAATTATTAGAATCATGGGAACTTGTGGTCAACACTATCAGACTATTGAATTATCCTAAAATGGTCCTTGGTAAATTAATAATGTTATTCATGGACACAAATGCTATGGAGATTAGCTCTAGACTCGATTAAACTCTGTCTGTCCTTTGGAATGTCATGTTTTCCAATTTTCTCTACTATTGTACATTCCATATGTTATAGCAGGCATTAAAATGTTGCTAGTCTTACATCAAGTGTCGTTTGAATTTGTGGAAAGGGGGGAGGGGGGTCATCAAGTACATAATGTAATAAGATTGAAATGTTTATATGGCCATAAAAAAGAATGGTTTAAAAATCGTCATTATATTTATTGATTAGAGAAGTTTGGTTTACCATTACTCTTGCATGAACTTCTAGTATTAAGCTATTCCCTAATTGCTAATTATATATAATGCATTTTTGCAAACACTAGTGGTCTGTGTGGGATGTCTTACATTCTTGATAATCCTCCTCAGCCTCTTCTAGGCACCAGAGGGCATACTCTGGCTTGCTGCAGAACAAACATAAATACCTCATTGTCATACTGCCCATATTTTCAAGCACATATAGAGAAGCCGCCTGTCTGTGCAGGCGCTCGAATCTGTTTGTTTGTCTGGGTGATAACACAAATATAGATTTGATTCAAATGTTATATATGTCCAAAATGACGAGGTATTTAATGATTTATTGAAAGGAAGATGGAAAGTATTGCAACAGATTTTGGACAGGGGTTGTAAAGATATCCATTATGGATGACCAAAATTAAGCTGAAAGCAATGAATCGCATGAGTTTTCCATATGGGAAAATAACATGGGAAATATTGTTTTCTACTATAAGGAATTAGTTATTCTTTTAACAGGGTTAACAGTGTCTCAAAACGCAACATATTGATGCAACAAAAATTGAAAGAGCAGGGATGGAAGGGGTTGAAAAGAAGGACAACATGTCAGAAAAAACATGGGGGGTTTGCATCTTCCCTGTCTCAAAGTCGAAATTATTTTATCATCTCTATGAGTGCTTTTCCTGGAGGTAATACATTGGCCATACGTATACACCTGGTTAGATCCTCAAAAAATAGCCAAAATCCAATATATGACTGTCCAATGTCCTGCATTTTATAAGGCATACAGCATATATTATTACTCCTTGTTATCAGATGTTCTGATTATAACTTGGATTGGGAGAAAAATAGTCAGTAAAACTAATTGTCATTTAATTTATATAAAACATCTACATACATGCACAATACACAGGTTCTGCTACGTGAGGCATTTAGGGTTGTTAGAAAAATAATTAGAAAAATAACCAGTGTTAACCATGTTCGTCACTGTTAGATTTATGATTCTCGATTTTTGTAATTTAACCACCACCTCCGGAGACATTCATTAGAATTGTTGGTATATAGGATTAACATGTAATTATTTGATGTATTATCCATGTAATTGGTGGTAATTTGAAACTGGTGTGTTAATGGTTAAGATTGGATATAATCTGGAGAAACTTGCAACTGATGCTACTGTTCTATGTTCTAAGTTTATTACAGACTCCAATGTTGTATTTGAACAATTTTTGTCACAAACTGTTGAAATGCCACATCTTGAAAGTTCATTTGCCATGTTAATCTCCACCTAGTGTTTCTGAGCGTCCCAGCCAAGCCCTGTTTCCCTGTTCAATTATAAATACCCCCTCCCACATATCACATATTCAGAATTTGATACAACTGCTATAACACGTTGTTAGGAAAGAGATATGATGTGTATCATAATGGATAAAAACTATAAAGTCATGTGTGAGTCTATTTACCATGTGTTTACAAGGGGCAGGTCAGTGTGAAAGAGAAAGTTTGAGGTCAAAAGCATTGAACTGTGAAACATCAATTCATCAATCTGTTGTGGTGCTGTGAAATACTGAAAGACCTCTAGACATTTAGATACAGGAGGTAACTTTTCTTAAGAGAACAGATGTTCTGAACTGTCAACGATTGGTCAGACATCATCTTGTGGTACATATGAAGGCTTGTGGGAAATATCATCCTGTGATTTAAGTAAGGAAGTGGCGATGAGTGACCAGCTCAAATGTCTGCAGATGTGTCCAATAAAATAAAAATAGTACAGTACCATGTTGCCATTTCATGAAACCCCATTGATCATATTTGTATTTTGCTCTACTCAAGAACCCTTACTGTCAATTGGTTACACTTTTTACTGTCAGTAGACCATTTTTTGTTGCCATTAACTACATCCGCCGTGTATTTTAATCAGACTCTTATTTAATCTGGTGATGCCTTTAATAGATAAACATGAAAAGATGACCTCTTCTAACTAACTACTGACATACGGACATCATATGCCATTTGGTGTCAGTATTAGTCGTGTTATATTATTGTATATAACTTTTTTCTAGATAAATAAATAAATAGTATATGTACATTGTGTATATATGCACAACTAGAGTAGATGTTGGTAAAATCTTATTGTTTTTTCATGAAGAAAAAATATTTAGTTATTTTACCTTGTTCCATTGATTTAGAGCTCCCTTCTATGAGGTCTTGAAATATATTATAATGCTGTAAAAAATGTTCTTTGCATTGAATATGTGTATACTCTAAAAGGGTCATTCATTTGCTGGTGTACATATACATGTATATTCTTTATATGATATTTATTTATGTACATGTATCCTTTTCAAAAGCCTTACAGTTATCATTACTAGTCTCTTGAATATGTAGGATATCAATATTAAATATGATTTTTTATTTTCAGTACTATGTGGGAAGAACTTAGCCAAGAAAGATTTTTTCCGTAAGTACTTTAATTTGTTTATTTGGTTAGAAAAATTACCTGCCATTAATGGAGTATTTCAACATAGGTTAGGACCCGAGATGCATGTTCACCAAGATAGCTGTCATGAAAATGTTGATAAACGGGTATGTGGGATGAATTGAAAAATATTTAGATACCTAGATCACTATTAATACAAGATAACCTGCTCAAAATATAAGATAATATCAGACACATATATGAGATGAGAGATATTGTGCGAAATGTGAAGCTTGTATGATCATGGTATGAATTTAAATCATAAACGCATATGATTAATGTTTACCATTTCATGCCAAAAAAAAGCGTGTACTAACTACTTATTTAAAAGGGGTGAAGTGAGACAATATATGTAATTTTGCTTTGTATTGATATATTTGCCAAAGTAGAGGCCGAGGGGGGTGGGATATACAAGCTGTTATAAGCCTATGGGGAACTATCAGACTAATCTAACTTACTATAAAACTTGACACATCTATGAGGAATTGGATATTCTGAAGCTAGAAATTCCAAGTTTTAGTGGTGTTCTACCTCACTGTATTACGTAACAAAGAGACTATATGAGAGAGCGGTCAGCTGCTGGTTAATCACTTGTGGTTCAGCTTGCTTAACACTAAGAGCTCATGCAGCATGGCTGCTATTTACCCTTTGTTTTCCTTTGAGGATTAAATGTTAAATTCAGATACCAAAGAAAGTGAACTTGTTACTTAAAGTAGATATGTTATTTCGTAATAATTTCAATTTTTTAAAGTGCCATGAATGGCCTAAGTTAAATGTTAGTTTTTTAAAAAGAAAAAGGATATATCACTTGTTCTGGAGGAATCTATTTATAAAAAAGAAATTGCGGACTATGGCAAGATAAATTATAGGATGATTGTCCGAGGAGAGGATGTTACCAGAAAATAAATCGGTTTGATGTCTTAAAAGACTAGGCTACCAGTTCTAGAGCCCGTTCTAGAGTTATGTTCCAGTTGCAGATGCACGTACAGTCTCTCCAAACTTCTATAACACGAAGTAATGAAGCCAACACTGCAAGATTGGTAATATAATAATTTTTTATATGTAACCGTTAAAGGTTTGTTTTTTAAGTGAAATGAAACCTCAAATGTGAGGATGTCAAATGGCCAGCATGTGAATGTTGGCAAAGTTGGAATCATCCAACTGTTGACTAAAAAGGGAGTTCCTCCCAAAAATGAAACCTCAAAGGCAAGGATGTCAAATGGCTGGCATGCGAAAAATTTGAGCCACCCAATAGTTGACTATAAAGGGAGTTCCTCTCAAAAATAGGATGCATGTAGATTAAAACTATGTAGATTAAACCTAAGTCCCTTGCTTGGAATCATTTAATTGTTGGTAATGGGAGTTCCTCCCAAATAGAACACAGGTATATTCCAGCCTTACACTGCTTGGAATATCTGTAATTACTGAAGAATGGAAGTTCCTTCCGAAACTGTTTAAGTATATTACCTTGATGGAACTTTTTTCCCATTTCATCTTCTTTAAGAAGAATGAAAAAATTAAAATAGCTTATTTGTAGCCATGCATGGCACAAATGTAGAAACCCATTATGTTCAGTAACTAATCCTGTTTTGAGGAAGTTGCTAGCTAGAGCTGCCCCAGCTCGGATCAAATTGTAGCAATAGATTCGCAAAAACGTGTTTTTCCAACTATAACCCCTGATATGATGGGGATTGAAATACAATAAAGCTAATAAATTTGAATTTGTGCACCCTTTTGAAGGCATTGCTACTAAGAAACATTACAATTGGGCAAAATAAGCCTCAATTTTCAGTATAAATTCTCAAAGCCAATCCAGCGTCAACTGTTTCAGACTGATAATCAAGTCTTTTTTGCATCATGGCAATCGCATCTGTCCCAGATCAAGTGCTATGGTAATAGAGCTAAGGTAGTTTGAAATGTATTTTTAACAGGAATCATAATCATATCCTTATATATCTTTTAAAACTAGATTAAAATGGAGAAATTAGCACAGTGAGTGCAGGGAAATGATAACTTTTCATTAAAAACTTGACTTTTATCCAACTCTATCCTTGAGGATAGAGGTCCATGCCTCAAACAAACTTGACTAAGACTTTATCTTCATTCGAAAAGTTAAACAATCTTAAGTGTGGATGATCCAAAATTGAAACTTTCTAAACAGACATTTGGCCTTATACAGAAAGAATACTAGATATAGCATCATAAGGCATCATAAAAATCACACACTTTGATGAGAATGTTTAAGATTAAAATTACTTGAAAGTATCAGTTTTTTTTTAGCTAGGTCACTAATTTTTTAGAAAATGATGCTTTAAATGCATAAACTGTGAAGTCAGTGTTATCACTTTTCATCTTTATTCATACAGTATGTATTACATTAATGTCGGTACCTTGACAGATATTAGTCATATGAAAATGCATGCACACAAAACATTGTGCCTACTTGGGAAGGACACATGAGAAACAGTTCTAAGGATAGCATAGAATCAATGTGAAATCACAGCTTGCTAACCTTATTACATAAGCATGAGCATCTTTTTCAAAGGTCATTGGGTTTGTGTCTTTATTGTTGCAACTTATGATAATCTCCTACTTTTTCAATACATGAATCTTGAATAAGATGAAAGTAAGGCATGAAACATCAGAGGCAATTATGAAGCAATCATATCATTATCAAATGATTCTAATGTAGCTGGCAGACTGGGGAACAATGAAATCCAGTGACTCAATCAGTCATGGTGTCCAAGACATGACCCTCTTCACTGATGCATCAGGGAGTGGTTGATGCTGTGTATGAAATGGCATTTTTTGAAGGCAGCCCTTGCTCTTCTAAAGAAGATAATAGTATGACTTAAATTACTTAGAAAGAATCTACATCAAAAGTTGGACTAATAATGTGTGACTGTATGACTCTCATAGTTCAAACTTTATAAATGGGACGAAATCTTTACTTGCACACATAAAATGATTGTAAAGGTATTCAATGCTCATCCATGAGTCTAGTGTTAGTACATTTACTTTGGAAGTAGATGCAGAATCCAAATATGAAACCATTTGTGCTATGAAAATGTAATTACTTGAGTTGCAAACCCTTTTAAATGTTCCCTAATATAAGTTTTATGTTGCTTTAGAGTACTAATTCAGACTCATTTTGTGATCTTGAATCTAAGATGAAGATAATCATATCATAATGATATAGGGTTGTCTATGTATTTTGATAAAATCTTTCAAAAGAAAGAAATGCACAAAGGACACAACATTCCTTTGTTTGTGTCTAAAAACCAGAACCTGGTGAACATGCAAAGTTGCATCTTTGGGCTTGCCCTCTCACCTTCCAAAGAGGAGGGGGTGGGGGGGGGGGTGGTGAAATACATGTACTCAATACTCATTACAGTATACCCAGATTTGCCAACAAGCAAAGTTCTAAATATTTTTTCAATTATACAAGTTATTGTTAGCTGCCCAAGCTATCCAAGTGTTGAATATTGAAGTTTTCTATAAAGCAAACACTTTTGATAACACTTTCTAAAGATAACCAATCTTTACTTGGAATATCCATGTAAGCTATAAGTTATAATTATATTTAACAAGATTAGGCCTGACAGAGGCTTTTTTGGACATCTACATATACATATTTAATGTAATTAGATATGCTCATTCCTGGAGCACTGTATACTTTACATCACCTCAGATAAATAAGTATTTCACTAAAAATGAAAGTATTTCATTGTTTGTCAATGTGCGTGGCTTAGCGCTAAGTACATGCAAATCGGCATAAAACATGACACCTCATTTCATATGAGATGTTTTAAGTAAAACAGAAGATGCTATGAGTAGCAGAATGGATGCAGATAAGCATTGCATTTTTCACATCTAGAGATATATAAACAAGTTGCTCAGTCATAGAATAAACAACTTTAAGAAATAAAAAATAAAAATAAAAAGTAAATAACCTTTTTACTGCAACTTTGAATGGATGTTGATTTTTAAAAATATTTTACTACAAATGAGATGTTACACTTTAGACCATTCACCATGCTAATGGTTAAATCTCATAAAACTGGTCATCAAATATGACTTCATGTGATTATTTGATAATGTTTTGACATTATGTAGATACATTCAGTTAAAATGAGAACTTATAACTGGGTTTCTTCAGAAACCTTGAACATTAATTGATGTAATATATCCCAATTTACAGCAGCAATTAACAACTCATGCCAAATCCATATTAGTATCTGGATAAGACTACAGGAATGCATGTGATGCTTTATTTTATTTTTTGAAATGTCAAAAACTTTATTCCAAATGAGTTAGATACAGTGTATCAATAAACCTAAAGGGAAGGATATGTTTTTACACAGCTGTGGGCATTGTGCTTTTGTGAGGTCTGAGTAACTTGACACAAGATTGTCTGAGTACAGCTTTAACAATTTCATTGTTTTGTTTCTATAATTGATGTTTGTTGAAGATAATCTTCATTACAAAAGTTATACTTTTGTTGTTTCAAAATTTTATTTTGATATTCATTAATTATTGAGTGATCCCATGCTTTAAAATCTCATATAGTCTCTTTGTTACGTAATACAGTGAGGTAGAATTGATAGTTAAACGAGACTTACCTTGGTAAGTTGAAGTTTGACTGTAGTTCTACCGAACTGTATGCAGGAACAAAGAGATTATATCCCACCCTATCCCCCCCAAATTGTTCCTGCATCATGACAATGTGATCACTCAATGCTCTCAATAGTGATTAACCAGCAGCTGACCGCTCTCTCATATAATCTCTTTGTTCCTGCATACAGTTCGGTAGAACTACAGTCAAACTTCAACTTACCAAGGTAAGTCTCGTTTAACTATCAATTTTAAAGCAGTAACATACAACACATTTTTGAGATTTTTGATGAATGTACAGGTTGTATTTTAGTAGGCTTATCTAGAAGAAATTCACTTACATGTACTGTTATAAATTTATGATTGTCCTATATAATATGTTATCATGTCTTCTAGTACTCGCTATAAGTGGTAATATGGCAATATACAACAATATTATGTTTACCTATTCTAAACTGCTAAACAAAGGTACATTCTTGCATCAATTCTACCCTACCTACTTAATATTTCTCTAATCTTGTATTTGTATATGGGGGGGGGGGGGCATGTGTTCATGTGAGTCATATTTGCATAACATCAGTTTGGTTTTCAATCACATGAAACCCTCATGCCTTTGAAATCAAGATTGAGAAAAATGTGACTTTAGTTTGGTAATCGATGTGTTTGATGTCGGTCACATTTTAGAATAGTAGATTGGTTTTCAATCACATGAAAGCCTTGTGCCTTTGAAATCAAGATTCAGAAAAGTGTGACTGTGTGATAAGTATGATAATCATTATGATATCATAATCATTGTGATATCATAATTGGACACGGGATGTCTGGTCTGGTCTGTTTGAATATCCTGTATAACATAATACTCTAATGAGAGTATAGGATGACTGTACATATGTACATCTTGATCAATATAATTATCAGAATACACAACACCTTGTCAAATCTTAATGATATAGATAAGGCATTCCATCTGTAGATCAGTACCAGACCAGGCAAAACCGAAGTACCAATCTTATCTGCTTGCCCTGTATTTGTACACATGCAGTACAAGTGCCAGGAAATATTTATAAAAATTCACTTCTATTGAACGACCCCTGAGATTTTTGCTTTATACACTGACCAATTCGTCTTCAACCTGAGGTCATTGCATAAAATACTACACTCTGATATTGACATTTAACTGCTGTTATTCATCCTATCATGAAACGCTAGAGTCACACTAGCATGTCCACATATTTAAAAGCAGAGGAATTAAACAGACAAAAAAGTCTTTGAGAGGCATTGGATCATGATTGATGCAGATGTTTATTAGGTGTGTAGAGTGAGATAAAGTAGATCCCTCTGGTAAAGGGTATTGAGGGTATTGTATGCTTAGTATAATGTGAGAATTCATGTCCATAAGGCAATTTGTCAACATCACCTGAAAGACAAATATTGATGTCTGGGCAGGGGAGGTGTATTTTATCATTACCCTTTGCATTGGTTTTGATTCTTAAAAGAGAGCTTCATCTGCTAATGTCCTGGGCTCTGACACTCTGAGATAGTTTTTCACCACCTTGTTTTGAATGATAGCTTTGCTTGATCTGGAGACCCCCCACAGCCCACATTTGCAGGTATGGGGATTTTGTTATAATAAAAATTGGGTTGTCAAAGTTTCTATCCTGGAAACAACCTAGTGTGTCAGTTCCCCCAACCTTGGAGAAATGAAAGCTGGTCAGATATGGTCAAAACTCTGATTACTTGGAATCTATATTAAAAAATGTGTATACTTGAAGTACTATTATCAAAATACCATTCCCTGCGACAGCACCGAGTGTCGAATTTCCAATCCTTGTTGCATAGGGGTCTAATGCAAACCTTTGAACAGTGTGTAAAGATCTCATTTAATATTACATATAAGCATTGTTTTTCTTTTGTTCAATGGCTGCTCCTTTATTCTGCAATAACCTTGCATCCTAGATAAAAAAAATGGGTGGAGTATCAGGATAATAGACACCTTACATCAGCAGTTAAAACTTTAGTACTGGTTCTACTACATATCATTATGAAAGATTTTGGTTTCAATGATAGTTTGCAAGCAGAGAAGTTTATCTATATGCCACCTGATAGTACTCAAAAACCTCAATTCCAGATGAACTTTTCAACTTAATAGTGCAACTGGAATTATAACTATCTGATGTCCAAATCAAATCTTTCCTCAAGCTCATATATACCCCCACTTTGACCTCCCCCCTCTTCATAAGGATATATATAATATACAAACACACACACCTAAACAGGGTTGGAGGGACCTTTTCTCTTCGACTTTAAAAATAACAAGGATGTAAGAGGCGAGTAAAAATAGTTTTTAAGCCTACCTCTTGTTAGTTTAAGTTGTATAATCTTTGTGTTGTGTCTTGTATCATGGTAACCGTTTCTTTTTTGTGGTCACGTTTTTGAAGTTTTGAATGGCTGTTACGTGTCTTGACTTTTCTGAAGGACATTTTTCATATTACTCTACATCAACAGTGTTAATATGCGTGTAATAAATGTAGAGCTGGCATCGAATGTCGGAATGGTCGATTGTCAGTCGAATGCTCTCTGCGACACCCATGTCGACACAACGCCTCTTGATCGACAGTCGGAACTCACAACATAATAAGCTATTTCCCTATGAATTAAAATCTTTGTTACTACCTGCTGTATGGTGTATTCTATAGTGAAGTTTTACCGCCTACATTTTCAAATTTTCTTTTTTGTTTTGATCGACTTCCTGCTCTCGAATTAGGTCTCGGGGCCCCTCGAGATTTACCCTCGAGATTTACTTTCAATGGCTGCCCGGAAATAACAACAGAAATCGTAGTTTTATGTCTATTTATTGCTTTTTCGTCAAAGTCTGATACTTGAACATGGTTTACCTGTAAGTTAAATATAAAACATACAACTGAGGATGACTATTGTGCATCGTATTGCTAATTACAAGCCTAGAAAATCTCAAATTCAGACGGTTTTTCTTCAATTTTTTTTTCATTTTTCAAATATCATTGGACCCGACAATGTCGATATCGTCGTCGATCGAGAGCTCCGACATGTCGACATTAAAATCCTATTCGATGCCAGCTCTAGATAAATGGGTATGTTTTAGTGGAGCAACGATTGACTCGTGGACTCGAGTACTACTCGCCAAACCCTGTAAATACGATTCATCGATTGGTAAATTCTGACTCGAATTGAAGAAAAATGAAAAAAAATTATGAAGAAATGTGATTTACCCACCTTTCAACCGCAATTTAAGTAAAAAACACATCCAATGTACAACATTTCTGCACACTGTTTAGCAATGATGCCTTCCTAATATATAGCATTGTAGTATGATACCTTAATGCAATGTTTAACTAGGTCAAACCAATTAGCGTAAATTGCTAATTTTTTTACTTTTCAATGCAAAACAAGAACATATAAAGTCTATTGAGTTATTCTATTTGAATAATTTGATGAGTATGTTGGAGTTATTCAAGGTAGGTTGAGCCGAGAACACTTGAAAACATTGTTACCGGAAGTGAAAGTTTGTAACTTTCCGAAGAAAGTTTTTCTGAAAATCATTCATTTTAATCGCGAATAAATCAAGTGTTCAAGAGCCTCTACTCGAGTAGGATAATTCACACGAGTCCCACCACTAGTATGTTTGTCGGTGCCGCAATGGTGGAGTTTGGATAGATAATTTATTGTTTAACGTTCTTGGATTGTTTTAGATGAAGCGCATTTATTTTTTATTTTCAATTTCATACGACATGCTGAGCCCACATTGCTTTTCTAACTCACATCACCTATGTCAAGTCAAGATGTTTTACTAAGTGAATGCCCTTCAAAAGTTGAATCAACAAGTAATATCATGAAATTACCTTATTGCATCTGTTTATACTTTATACTTTATGGCATCATGATGTCATACTAAACTTCATAATTATAACAGTTATTTAATATAGGAGTATAGTAAACAGATTCTTGAACACAATATGTGTGGGCGTTCAAATGTAAATACATGTAGATACTTGAATATACAAGTACAAAATATTATAAGTGTTTTGATATAAATATACAGTATTGAAATACAGTAGAACCTGTCTAAGTAGAACAGCTTTGACCTTAAAAAAGTGTTCCACTGACAGAGGTGTTCCACTTATAGAGGTTCATTTAACATTTAGTCAGTTGGTCTTGGGACTCTGAAAAGTGTTCCACTGACAGAGGTGTTCCACTTATAGAGGTTCATTTAACATTTAGTCAGTTGGTCTTGGGACTCTGAAAAGTGTTCCACTTCAGAGGTGTTTCACTTATAGAGGTTCATTTAACATTTAGTCAGTTGGTCTTGGGACACTTACAAGTGTTCCACTGATAGAGGTGTTCCACTTATAGAGGTTCATTAAACATTAAGTCAGTTGATCTTGGTCTCTGAAAAGTGTTCCATTAACAGAGGTGTTCTACTTTACTGTATGTTAATTGCATTCATTATTTACTTCCAGGTCTCCCAGATCCCTTTGCCAAGATTAGTGTGGATGGTTCAGGTCAGAGTCACTCTACAGATACGTGTAAGAACACACTAGACCCCAAGTGGAACCAGCATTATGACTTGTGAGTATACAATATATAAGGGTTATGCACTGGGAGGTTTTGGATACAGGGTTTATCCCAAGGGAAATATGTGTATCTTCTTAGGAACCGCAGGGATGGATACAGCGTGTATCCATCCCGGTCCCGGGCCTTGGTGATATCTCCCTAGATACAGTATATATTCCCGCTTGTTATGTACCTAGAACCTCAGTAGGCATGAAATACATGGTAATACACTTTCCAATCACCTAGAATCTTGAATTCGCTCCTGCATCTGCTGTTGCAATGAAAATATGATTGCCATGATTGGTAAAAGTGTCTCTTGTGTATAAGGAACTTTTTATTGTACCTAAAAAGGTATGATATTGGCATCTGCTTGGTAAGTGGCTGGTGACATTTCACTTTTTTGCACACTGTACTTCCAGTTAGCCCACTTTATTTTAAATCATCGAGGATATTTCTTAGTAGGAAAATCTAGAATTTATTAAATTTGCAATGAAAAGGTCAGTCATATGAAAATGTCTAATAAAACCACTATCTGGACAGTAACGGGGAGGGGCAGAGGTAGTCTAGAATACCAGGTGCTTTTATAATTGAATGGAATTTGACCAACCTAGAATCTGGTTGAAAGATGGTTTTGTTTATGTTTGGAGTTCTTCCTGTCAGTTCCACTTTAGGGTGGTATCTCAAGGCAGGTTCATCAATCCCATGTTAATCATGGTTTTTTGTTAATTCTGGTTGGTCAAGCCCTCACTACCTACTGTTAAAGACTTGTGGGATTGATCATACTTTGTCTATACAGAGAGAGTTTGTTTTAAAATAATACCTGGTATCTTTTAAGTAGAGTGGTTTGAAATGTGAGCTTGATGTACTTTTGTTATGTCATAAAATATGATCGTTGAAGTAGAGTTCAATTTTTAATGCTACTAAAGATGTGGTCAAAGATATGAGAAAAATCTGGTTGTCACAAAACGTTTATTGAGTTAATGTTGATATTAAATTTCGTATTGACATTGGGTTGTATAATTCTATAATTTTATAATACACACCTTGGTACAAGTAAGATGAACTGACATTTTAGATTGGATGATCGTGTATGACTTTACATTATTATTGAGAAATTAAGATACATGCATGCCGCTGCGTATAGTATTACCAATTGGCACTCTGAAATTTTAGATTAGATGATATAACTGTATGTAATTATAAACAAAGATGACATACATGGCACCATGTATAGTAATACCAATTAAGACTGATTGTCATCAGTCATTTTGGATTGGAGATAAATTAGATTCTGCTCAAATTTTGATGTATAGATATAAGCATAGATTTGCTATGAGACCCTGTGTTCTCCCTTTATTCTCTAGATTTTCATGAATGCGTGTAGAAATCAGGAGTTAGAGGTTTCGTGGTTCAGAGGTTCAATATAATGAAAAAACTTTATTGCCCAGTGTCCCCTCTCACAGTAAGGACCTTGTTTGATTGGGCACTGACCACAATTATTGAAAAGTGTATTGCAATATTGGAAAGATACACTACTTTTGAAAAAATACCTCACTATAAAAGGTACCTCACTTATTTCTAAACTGAATCTGTTTTTGTTTCCAGGTATGTTGGAAGTAAGGACTCTATCACAATTAGTGTGTGGAATCATAAGAAAGTCCACAAGAAGGTTGGAGCAGGATTCCTGGGATGTGTCAGGATTATGTCTAATGCTGTCCAGAGACTCAAAGATACTGGATGTAAGTTACAAAATGCTAAATGTTTATGTACTTATAAGAAACACTTAACAACTAATGGTGACCGTTTTTTAAGCACCATGGGCGCTAATTACAGAGAATATGGTAATGTCAATGGTAGTATAAGGCATGTTAACACTACATCAGAGGTTTCACTAGATTTTCTCACAACAGGCCAAATAAATGAAAACAACAGGCCTATTTAATGGAAATCATGATTTTAACATAGAAAAGTTGATAAGTCCCTAAAAACAACAGGCAATTTTGTGAAAACATACGGTGAAAATCACCCTTGCCCTCTGCTAATGAAACCCCTGTACATGCAAATTAACATGCTTACTTCAAGATAAAACATGGTGGCCACTAGAACATATCAGACTATGTAACAGCATTTGATGGGGCAATAAGTATGGGCTAATGTTTATAAATGTATTTGTTAGAGGGCTATAATGTTATCATGTAGCAGTCATAACATTATTATACAACCGCTAGATATAACTAAACAAGCTGTAACACTAATTGCAGAGAAATGTTAAACTGACTTCTAACATAATAATCATGGTGGCCTGGATGTGAATTAAGCTTGTATGGAATCCTTGTTTTATATTCCGCTTATATTACTACAGTATGTTTGCTAGGATTATGGTTGCATAGGTTGTATTTCGTGAATGCAACTTTCGGCTGTCAGCTCCTAGATTAACCTACTAATTTATGGACAATTCATTTAAATATGAATAGAACCTGCCACTATTCACAGATTCTAGAATTCCGTGCTTCCGCATTGCTGCAGAAAAGCAACAGCATTTGGGTTTTCAAAATTTGTCACTCCCCTTGACACCTTAGACAGTCAATTGTCAACAGAAACTGGTCTTACGAGGATTTCGAAGGGGAATGTGAAATCTGTTTAAATTTCTCCAACTTCTGGCTTTTGCACTTAAAGATTACGTCTAATTATGTAACAAAATGTGAATTCCCTGGAATTTCGTGATAGTTCAAATGAAACTGTTGCTTGCAGAATTTGTCACAGAATTTGATTTTTTCATTCAGAATTTATGCATGAAAATGCAAAAATATTATCTGGCTAGTTAGACCTGTATGGAGTTGGAAGACTATGAATGTAAAGAAATATGGCGCTAGGGCTGTGCCGGAACCGGTTCGGACGGTTCGGAATCGGAACCGGAACTTGGTCTCACGGAATCGGAACTTTCGGAACCCCTTTTGGTTCACAAATGAAAATAATTATGTATGAGTGAGTTCGACGGCGATCATGACGATATCGTCGTCCAAGTTTGTCAGGTTAACACTTACCTTTCCTGTCAAGCAAGTTTGAATGTTTTTACGAAAGAAATAGACTCTAAAATCTGTAAAAAGAGAGAAAATTCGATCTTTTTTCTACTTGTTTTCACTTCCGGCTGCTCTGACCATAATGCGCATGCGTAATTGAAAAAGTCATTTATCTATGAGTATTTTCGCCCCGTCGATTCCTACTTCCAATGAAATCCGAAGGTCAAAGTTCGTAAAACAAAACTTGATTTCTGTTGATTTCTCCGCTATTTATTTTGTTTATGCGAGTAATACACATGCAAATTGGATGTAGTTTGAAGGAAAACATCACTGGAGGAACAATGGTCACGGATATTAACGATTCAAAGCAAGTACTAAGGTAAGGGTCCGATATTGTTCCGAAACCCTTCGGAACATGATATTAAAATTCCGAATTCCGGTATTTTAACAAAAGTCCGCGGTTCGGACCGATTCCGGTCGAATGGCACGGCCCTACATGGGCGTAGCGCCCGGTACGCTGGGTACGCACAGGCGTACCAGATGGTTGCAAATTCGCTCCAAATACAACCAAATTTCAAAATTTTCCTGGGGGAGAACCCCCAGAACCCCCATGAATGTTCGATTTTTGATTCACTCAAGGACGTCTATCTCTATATCTCTATAGACGTCCTTGATTCACTCAACTCTTGTTCCTGTGGTGGTGGCGTACTTCTAAGAAAAATAGCGCTACACCCATGTATGGGGAATAGACATATATCAGTATGTTCAGTGCATCTTGCTGTTTAAGATCAAATAAAACAAATAAAACCATCAGTGGCTTCATTGTTTCAAATCTAGGCACTTTCACTTGGTCTTAATAAGTAAAAAGGGTGGCAAATTCCTACATGTTGAAAATGTAGCTTCATTCTCATGAGTCTTGCTTCGGGACCCTGGACCCCCTCCCCCCATCTACTTTTATGTATGAGAAATAGATAAGGGAGGGGTTCACAGCCTTGAAGCAAGACTAGATTATACTCGTATATAAAATACATATAATGCCCAGAAAACATATACAATACATGTGTAAAATGATTCATATATCCTTCATGGAGCATTTCCTCAGTTATCATTTTCTCTATGAATTGATGGATCATTCTTAGTGTTATTTTAGGTTTCCTAGTCTTGATATGATAACTTATCTTCATACGTTCATGCAACGCAAACAGATAAGGGCAACCAAAATATCTTAATGGATACCACTAATCAGAAACATGATATTAAATTACTCTGGCCCTATATTCATACTCAGTGCCACAGTGCTGTTGGAATTTTATGGATTTAAGTTAGTTTTGCATGTTTCTTTGACCTAAATAAATCTTAAATATGTAGTCACGTCCTATTTTCTTTTGGCTTGTTGGGCGAGGGGCAGAATGATGTGTGAAGGGGGGGGGGGGGTAGCAATGAAGGTTATAATGCAAGAAAACCATCTTAATAATTGTGTATCCAGCCACTGCTACCGTTACGTCTTATGTTAGAGAAAGAAAGGTGAATAACAACAATACACAATGTAAGAATAACTGATACATTATATGGAGAATAACTGATACATTATATGGAGAATAACTGATACATTATATGGAGAATAACTGATATATTATATGGAGAATAACTGATACATTATATGGTAATAAGTTAATGCTATTGTTATTATGTTTTCAGTTCAGCGCCTAGATTTACAGAAGAACTCCAGTGATGGGGACGGTGACGCTGTTAGAGGTCAAATTGTTATAAGCCTCATCTCCCGGGATAGAGGGGGCTCTGGTCCTCAGGTGACGGAAGTAGCAGCAAGTAACAACATCAATAACAGAGATGTTGCGGAACTTCCTGAGGGGTAAGTCTTGTAAAAATCAGATTATTCTTGGAGATTTTCTTTCAGATGTCGTGGGTTTAGTTCATTCAATAATTATCCCATCGAACGAAGTTCGGAGCGATATAGGGAACGCCTCCGTCCGTCCGTCCGTCCGTCCGTCCGGGCAATAACTCAAATACTGTTGGCCCGATTTTGTTCATATTTTGTACACATATACCCTATGGGGGTAGAAGTTCTGCTTGAAAGCTGATTTTCAAAATGGCCGCTCATTTCAAAATGGCGGCCATTTTAGTGCCGATTTTACAGTAATTTAGGTACAATATGTAAAACTGTAATAGCAATATGTTTTAAATGTAAAAAAATTATAAAGGACATTAATAAAGCTACAATGTAGATATTAAAAAAGCACATGGCAGCCATCTTGAAAAATGGCGGCCTTTACTCGTTATTTTACGATTTTTGCTGTAACTCGAAAAGTAGTGGAGCGATTTTGTTCATATTTGGTATGTGAATACTATTAACATTGCACACTGTCTAAAGACACTTTTGGTAGAAGGCGGCCATTTTGAAAAATGGCCGCCATTTTAACGTATTTTACTATAACTCGAAAAGTAGTAGAGCGATTTTGTTCATATTTGGTAAGTGAATACTTTAAGCATGGCACACTGTCCTATGACACTTTTGGTAGAAGGTGGCCATTTTGAAAAAAATTTTGAAAATGACCGCCATTTTAACGTATTTTACTATAACTCGAAAAGTAGTGGAGCGAATTTGTCGCTATTTGGTATGTGAATACTATAAGCATGGCACACTATTCTATGACACTTTTGGTAGAAGGTGGCCATTTTGAAAAATGGCCGCCAATTTAACGTATTTTAGTATAACTCGAAAAGTAGTGGAGCGATTTTGTTCATATTTGATATGTGAATACTCTAACCATGGCACATTGTCTAATAAAATTTTGGGGAGTAGTCAGCCATTTTGAAAATGGCCACCATTTTTTTATGTATGTTATTTTACAAGTACATGTGTGCGATTTTTCAAAAAATTTATAGGTGGCTACTAAAAAGCATATTATTTCTTCTGGTGACAACTTGGCTAGTGAGCAACCATTTTGAAAATGGTGGCCTTTCTGGTGTGTTGTTTTATGATATTTGCTATATATTTCGTTTGTAAAAATGCCAGCCATTTCTGTTCGATGGGATTCGCTACGCTTTGGCGTTGCCGTTGTTCTTTTTATTAATACAAATATTTTTGTTTTGATTTCTTGATCAATATCAAAATGAAAGTACATTGTATTTATATCATTATTTATTGATCAACCCTTGTCGTTTGCATTTTTTGAAGTTGTAAAATTTGAACTTTATCTTATGAATTTTAGCCAAATACACCAAGAGAATGACCTCACATGAGGATGAACTCTCCATTATTTCAAAGGACTTCAAAAGCATGTGATAAAGATAATAGTTTGGGAATTACATGACAAAGGTCATGTTTTAGAATGTCTTGAAATTCTCTTTTGTTTCATACAATAATTAAATTATGACTTGCATGTTATTGCACAAAATTTTAGATGTGCTCTGAATTAAGCTCTTTTTATGTGGTAGATAGAACAAAGAAACTGGTCTATTAATTTAGTAATATAAGATTGAACATGTTTAAATATCTCAAGTAAAAGTTCTTTAGGATTTACTCCATATTCTTCTCTAGGGGTTATTCTCAAATAAAATATTTAGATAGACTGAATTGCTTAGCTTTTGACAAAAAAGATAGAAAAGGGTGTGATAAATGAAAACTTAAGTGAGTACTATTGGGATTAGGCTGTTCACAAATCTGTGGGAGGTGTTCATAAATCTGTGGGAGGTGTTCATATTAAAATGTTTTGGTTACATTTTAGGGAGTCTGTGAAATATCAAAAATGGAACACGAAAAGTGTTGCTTTAGAGATTTTCACATGAGTGTCAATGTGATCTGAGTCAGGTTGAATTGACTTTGTTTGATTAGAATATAATTGGGATGAGGGAATGAGTTTACATAATTTTGGATCGAAGATGCCTACAATATGCAGAGGTTGGTACTTTTAAACCCAAGTGAAATCTGAAACATCAGTCATTTAGATATTCTCGAATCTTACATCAAATCAAATGGTTCCCAAGTCACCCAAACATTGTTTGAGAGAGAATCAGTCTTCCAAACCTTTGTAGACTAGTTAGGAGGCATACCAACTGGATGCTTAATGTTCACTGCAACATTTCTTCATTTTCTCTGGAAGGTCAAAATAATTGAATAATGATCTATTAGAAGGACTTTCATGCTCATGGGATATCTTAACAAATATTTCAATTCCCTCTTTTAATTCAATATCGAACATGTTGACATTTAGTAATACAAATGTTTCCCTAAACATGCATAGTTATTTTAATTATGAGTTGAAATACAAGGAAATGTCTTTGATATCGTTTGAAAACCATGCTAGTTTTTCCATGTTAAATTTCTATATAATAAAAATAAAAATAATCTCTTTGGATACCAACATTTTTTGTAAGGGAAGGCAGAGTCGCAGTGACATTTCACATTTCCTGAATTTATTTCTAATATTTATATTCTCTGTGGAGCATTCTAAAATCATTCTGTGTCCTTAGTCTTGTAATTTAATAAAGCTACACACACTTACATAAACTTGAATACATATATATTGCATTTTTTGAAATGCCTCGTCATTTTTTTTTTAAATGCCTCGTCATACACTAACTATTGCTATAAAATGTAGATTTGGGTCCATAAATTCTTTTAAGAGATATCCGGTGTAAGAACTAGTTGGATGTGTTGAAATAGGATGTAGGCTCATCTTGCGTTGAAAGACAATAACTAACTGCTTTAGTTTGGTTGCTTTCTTTATATCCAAGGATGAATAGGTGAATAGAATTCGAGCTGGTGGTTACTAAGGCATGGTTTTAGGAGTACATACAGTATCATACAGATTTTGTACGAAGTTGAATGCATCAAATAATGAGAAATCCAAGACACTGAGTCAGTCAAGATAAGGAAAGAAATTCGAAAAAGGATAATTGGAAATTAAGCATATGAGTGATACAATTTTTAGGAAGCCAATAACAATGACATCAACAAAATGATGATACAGTAATTTCATTGAAATACTGAAACAATAATACATGTCTCTATAAGATACTCCAAGGAAGAGACTGGTGTGATATTCCAGCTGTCTGCTCCAAGCATTGTAACAGAAGTATAATCACCTTGACTACATATTAGTTCTACAGGATCATGCTTTATTCCAGTCATACTGGTGGTTATAAAAAGGAAATAATGAAACAGAATAGAATATGAGCATCTGATTAAATAAACTTTCGATTGAAGAATTGTAGACGATTTCTACATTTCTGCTTCAAGAAAAACAAAAGAAAAAAAAATCTGCTATGAATTAGTTTAAAAGGGTAGGAAGGAAGGTTGAAAATATATAGAAATTAAGGCCATGTGTCTAAGCTGGAGGGCTTTACAGTTGTGTGCTGTTACACACAATATTACAGAGGATCAATATGGACAATCTGTTGAGGATCGTGATAGGGACTTTGAGGATCATAATGAAAATATTGAGGCTCACAATGGTGACATCAATGAGGACATGGTGGCTCGAAATGGTGACATCAACGAGGATGTTGAGGATCATGATGGTGACATCAACGAGGGCAATGAGTATCAAGCTGGGAACATCATTTTAAGACGCCGATATAATAGAGAACCAAGGTGGTTAAATTGAAATAGGCTTGGGTGATTTTTATTCATACATGGGTCACATTGCTTGAAGCGTATACTAAGATATTCTTTATTTTACTGTTAGTAATACATTTTTTGTAATTATCGGAGAAGTTTGTGGTTAATCGTGAATAAGCAGTTTAGCACTATGCCTTGGGGTTCACACCATTTAGTGGTAAATTAATATGTGACAATAATCATATTGCACTAACTAAACTAAAGTAGATGTCACATTGACCAACATGATGGCAGGTTAGGGTTAAGTTACCATCTGAGTACATGGGTTTCCTGACTGGATAGTTTCATTGAATTGTGAAACTTTAAACTTTAGAGTTTATTTTCATCAGCAGTGAATAAGTAAATGGATACTGCAGTGAGCTAACATGTTTTAACTACCTGTAGCAAATATATCAACTATCACTGAGATAGAAACCTTTGAGCTGTTTTCTTAACCAAGGATTTTTGTAATTCATGTGGTTGTACTGATCTAATTAGATTTGGGTATATCAAAAATAGAGTTTAAAGAACATGGTCTGTGGGTACCTCCTGTGTTTATTTTAGGTAGGTTCCTAATACATCTCCATGCTAACACAGCAGGACTTATCTTAACAGAAATCGCTGTGGCTAGAAGTACCAAAATATCTAACTCTAAGTTTTTTATTTTGCTCCATCAATCCCCAAGTTCCTTTTCTTCAAGTATGTTCATAGATTCTAATACATGTACATGCTTAAACTGTTTATGCTTTTATATTGGTGTCACTATTTAGTGTCAATGACTTAAGTCATTCCATGTGCCTTTCACAAAGATGACCTTTAACCCATACCACTGAGTACTAGCGATCATTCACATGTTTTGTCCATTGATAATTATATTTTCAATGCAAATATATTATTATTTTCAGGTGGGAGGAACGTAGAACGGCTACAGGAAGGGTACACTATGTCAATCATGTCACTAGGACCACCCAATGGGAACGGCCTACCAGGTGAGTTGTCACGGCAACATAATACCACAGTTATTAAGATATAAAGGGGAAAATACAATGGAATCTGGAATTAGTAATGTAAAATTACTTATGGAAGTGACACTTGTTCTTGTCCCTAAGATGTGTATGCTCTTGAAGCATGCCATTAAATATGCCAACAATATTATGTTATTTATTACTGTATATTATCCTGGTCTGTCATGGAAATGCCAGCCTTTATGTCATAGTAAACACTCCAAGCTTGCCATACAATATGCCAACAATACTAAGACATGTTATCGTAAACTCACAAGGCCTGCTTTATAATATGCCAACGATATTGAGACATGTTATTGTATAATTTCCTGGCCTGCTTTCAAGTATTTCATCAACATTAAAACATTGGAATATGCCAACAATATTAATACATGTTATTGTAAAATTTCCAGGCCTGCCATAGAATATGCCAATAATATAAACGCATGTTATTGTAAAATTTCCAGGCCTGCCATAGAATATGCCAATGCCAGCAATGCAGCTAATCGAAATAGCACTTCAAATAACTCCTCATCAAATAACAGCAGTACAACAGCTACAATAACAGATGTTGCTACATCTACTACAAGTACAACAACTGCTACCACCAATTCCAATAGTAATAATGAGGGTAGCACTAGTGGGTCAAGGTCAAATTTAGCTAGACAAGGTCGAAGGTCAACCAGGCATCGACATTACATGAATAGGGCCCAGCTTCACAATGTGTCCACTGAGCTACCTGCAGGTTATGGTGAGTTGAATTTTTAAATAATATTTTGATGGCTCATCGTGATAGACCTGCTGTTCTGTTTTTGCAGTTGCCATACCTACAATTTCTAATATTTTTATTTGGATTTTAGATATAGTGTAAATGTCTAACATTAAAACATTTTTCTCGCCTGGAATAGTACTGATTTCCCTGTAAATATTGAACGAAAACTGTGACATTTATTCTATAATTCTTGTGCTACTTAAGGCTTATTTCGTATCGGTTGATATAGCAGAAAGGAATTCATATCATATGCACATAACGTTTCTTGGTTCAACCATGTAAATCACAAATAATTTGTATTTTAGAACAAAGAACAACCCAGCAAGGGCAGGTGTATTTCCTACAGACCAGCACAGGTGTCAGTACATGGCACGACCCACGTGTACCAAGGTAAACATCATCCCATTTTTCACAAATTAATTTTCAAAATCTTAAAAATATTTCACGTGCCTGTATTATGATATCATATGTTAGGTGGATTATCTGCTTGAGCTTATATGAGGTCACTCCGACCCAAAGAATAATGCTAAAGGTGCTTGTCTAGTGATTCCCACTGCTTTGAATCAACAGATTAAGATTGTAACTTGTCTATCCTTTGCATTTGTTTGACTTCGCTTCTTAAAAGAGAGCTTCGTTTTCATTTTTCAGTTAAGAATGAAATATCTGAACTCAATAAGGCAATCAGAGTTTGTTGTTGGAATGCGGATGACATTCTATATATGGTCATATGGTCAGACATCATCGCTTTCTTGCATCCAGTTGAAAGTATTTCAAACTTATTTAAAAATATGAATTCAACTTTTTTGAAGAAAGAAATATTTTAACAAGATTTAACATTGTCTTATCAGAATAAGTTGAGAAAAATTATTGATTAATAACATGTTCTATATCTTCAGGGATGTTAACATTAATGTTGAGACCCTGGGTCCACTCCCAGCAGGTTGGGAAATTAGACATACTGCCAATGGACGTGTCTACTATGTAGATCACAACAATAGGACCACTCAGTTTACTGACCCCAGGCTCTCCCTCAATGTTAACACAGTTCGAGAGATGCATGCAAATAACAGAAGGTGAGATTTTTGATGGGAATCAGAATTCTTTTAATTGAAAACATCACAACATTTTCATGTCCTCACTGTATAGTATTCTGCCACATTGTCGGCCTAGTTATTTTATTTTTCTATACATAGTCTATTTACTACATTGACTGCTTGACCACTGCTCTTAATGAAATAGTCTTTTACCATGTTACCATTGTTGAGGGTGTCATATAATCTCCAACTTTTTTGTGGATTGCGATTGGTGTTCAGAATTTGGCATTTTGTATCTGTAATAAATGGCAGGTGGTGACATTTCGCATGTTAATGCCTTGTTATTTTTGTGGCAGTTTGTATAACTGAGATTTTATATTCACTCCAGGTCTGGTGTGCCTAATGCAGCTAGGGAACGAGAGCGTAACTTGCCGCCCCTACCTCCACCCCCACAGCACCCTCCCCAGGGGGGTGATGATGACATGCCTCTTCCTAAATATAAAAGAGACTTAGTTCAAAAAATGAAAACATTAAAATCTGAGCTTCAACAGTTGCAACCTCAGACTGGTCACTGTAGGATAGAGGTGTCGAGGGAAGACATCTTTGAGGTGAGTTTTCCATAATCAACATATTGGTCATATTTGAGATTGGGAATAGACAAGAAAAGAAAGGAATCATCAACAAATTGATTTAAAGAGCCATACAGGCAAAACACTTTGTTGCATCGCTGTGTAAAATAAATTTGTTCAACTTTTTCAAGAGGATCAGCATGACCGTTTTTATAGAAAATGATGTGGTAGTTGCATACCTATCAAAATATGTTACCTTTGTTTAAATTATAATCTATTGTGAACAGAATTGAATTTAAGAATTTAACTCTTTATTTTTGTATATTTTCAAGTTTCCAACTTGTGTATTATTGTATATTTATTCTTTATTCATTGTCAGGTTTTAAATCTTTATGTTCATGCTGAACATTTACACGTTTCATTTATTTCAGGAGTCTTATCGACAAGTCATGAAGATGCGGCCAAAAGACTTAAGAAAACGTTTGATGGTGAAGTTCAAAGGAGAAGAGGGCTTAGATTATGGTGGAGTGGCAAGGTACATTTGATATGAAGGATATTATTACATGCACAGTAAAATGGAACTCTTTTGGTACCTCTAAAGTGTTCTCCTTGGGTGTTCACTTTCCTCTAAAAAGTGTTCTCCTTTGGGTGTTCACTTTAATGTTATGGGAGTTGGTCATGGGACTCTGAAGTGTTCCACTTCAAGAGTTGTTCCACTAACAGAGGTTTTCAACTTCATCACATTTTACTCATGAATGAAATGCATACCAATTGAAAAGAACCATCCCAGTGCCCCCCAGTCCATTTATTTAAAGTTCTAAACTGAAGTCCTTACAGTCTGAATTGTTAAAAGTCCATGTCATTAAGTTCTGAAAACAATTAATTTTCACTATTGTGACATTGAGACTATTTTAAGATGAGAATAATCTGAAATGCTACTTAACATAGAATCAATTGATTGAAAAGATGAAAGGTGACTTTAAAAATATTTATGTACTTTTTGGCCTCATGTTGTTGGAGTTTTATAAATGGACATGTACTAATTACTTACACTTGACTAAGTGCTACATTTCTTTGTAGAAGGCAAGTATGCAAATATTAGAAAGTATAAATTATACCATTGACAGCACCTCCCAAAATAAACACAATTTAACCAATTTGACATTTGAAAAATTGTGATATAAGTACCAATAATGCAGTTAGGTGACAAAGGTCTCTGTGTGGAAAATTAACCCCTTGGACAATGCATCCTTGAGACAATGCATCCCTGAGACAATGCATATTTTTGACAATGTTTGCCCTAGAAAATGCATGTCCTTAGGATCAACTCACTGACAGACAAGCTATTTGATAGAGGATATTGTTCAGCAGAAATGAAACAGAAAAGAACATAAATATTCATTTTTTAAAACTGAATTATGTCATCAGTATATTTATTATACTACCACAAGAAGAGGTGTTCTTCAGTTGATGTCTGTAACAAATGGGAGGTGTTGACATTTTGCATGTTAATGGCTTGTGTACTTTTGAAATGCCATGCAAGTCATGTTGGAAATGGTAGTTTTAAACTTTACATGGGGCCTTTAAGACCGATATTGAAAAGACAATTTGATGTTAACTGTAAAACATTCATTTCTCCACTTGACTTTGAATAATATCAATGGGAATACCTTCGTAACTGTGTTATCAGCCATAATACATTATATCTTGAAGCAATTAACATGATAAATAAATGATTAACTTAACCAGACATACTCGTGTTGAGATTATTTGAGGACAGGGATTTTATATATAAATCACATGTTCTAAGATGTAAATTCTATTAAGACGCCACATTAGGTCATGTAACAAACCATCGGGAGTTTGTCATCCAAATAATTGAAAATCAAAAACTGATGATATTACCTCATAGTTGTCAATCTATTCCTACCTAAAGCATGAAGGTACATAGATAATTGCAGCATATTTTATTTATGATTTGGCTCAGTTAATTTCCCATTTCCTCTGTACATTTATGTAACTATCTAATTATAGCATGCTTGATTAGTTTTCACTTATATGTTTAATCATCGGGATGTTGAGAACATATTGACTTGCTAGCTTTGTTGAAAATCGTCTATGATCCCATTTGCGATTTTAATGATTATGAATTAAATGAATCATTTATGTAGTATCTGTCTTTATTCTAGTATGTGGTATTCATGCCATTGTTGTTTGTATTTTCAGAGAGTGGCTGTATTTATTATCGCATGAAATGCTCAATCCTTACTACGGGCTGTTCCAATACTCTAGGGACGACATCTATACACTACAGATCAACCCAGACTCTGGCGTCAATCCAGTAAGTGACAATATAATGTTTGTTCAAGAGATGTTTTTTAAAAAAATGAAAGTGTTAAAAAGAAAAATCAACAAGGAGTGCAGTGTATACTAGCCAACGCTTAAAATTGTATGAAATTGAAAACTATGTTATTCATTCGAGTTTGAAAGAAGAGCATGGGATAGATGCGACCAAAGTTGGAAAATATATTTTGTCATGAATTGGTATGTTTTGAGAAGGGTGCATAAATAATTTATATTTATATAGTTGAAAATTCAACTGATTGTAGTTCTGTATAAAACGATGTACCACCAATTAATGATGAATTTTTAATATTCCATTTTAGGAGCATTTATCCTACTTCCATTTTGTTGGTCGAGTGATGGGCCTAGCAATATTTCACAGCCATTACCTAGATGGTGGGTTCACTCTTCCATTCTATAAACAGATGCTTGGCAAGTCAATCACACTGGATGATATGGAAACAGTTGATCCTGAACTATACAGGAGCTTCACCTGGATGATGTAAGACTGGGTTACAATTTTCTTCAATTTTTATGTCACCATCTCAAGTTGTGACATATTGTTACAGTCTCAACTTTTATGTGGATGGTGTTCGGCATCTGGTGTTCAGAGTATGGCATCTGTAACAAATGGCAGGTGGTGACACTGCATCTTAATGCCTTGTTTGAAATTGTGTTCAAAATTTTGAATCATTTACACTCTTATCCATTCTCTTTGAGGAAATCGAGATGCGGAAATAGTTAGGGAAAATAAAGAGATTAGTTGTTATATATCACTCTTATGACAGTAAAGTAAAACTTTGTTTGTGAATTACTGCGATATATATTGTATGAAGTGTTTATTTGAAGTTTAATTTTCCATAATTTTCACTTAGAATTGACGACTTAACCGACTTAACGTATGTATTTTGTTTACATTTTCCTATTCTTTCAGAGAAAATGACATCACGGATGTCTTACATAACACATTTTCCGTGGAGCATGAGGCTTTTGGTGAAATCCAGACCCACGAGCTAAAGCCTGGGGGTGGGGAGATTGAAGTCAGTGAAGAAAATAAAAAAGAATATATAAAGTAAGTAATCATGATAAGAATCTAAATGTGTTACATTTCGACATATTGACCCTTTTGTGTTTCACATTAAGTTAGATGCAGCTTTGTTATCATTTGTCCCATTTTAGATTTTTTAAATATACATAGATTAATAGACCTCATACAATGTATCAAGAAAAAGTGTTCAGCATAATTATCATGGGTTCTTTGATTAAAATCCATTGTTAATAATGATAACAACAATTGGTATAACCAAAAAATTGTTATTTATTTGTAAATTGATAAGGATAATAATTAAAAATATGGATTAATTTATTGCAGATTTTATGTAAATTGGAGATTTCTACGTGGAATAGAAGCCCAATTTCTTGCCCTCCAGAAAGGTTTTAGTGAATTAGTCCCTCAGCATTTCCTTAAACCTTTTGATGAAAAAGAATTTGAGGTAAGGAATATATAATAATCATGTAGATTTAATGTAATGTCCGTTTTTTGTGACGGCAATTGGCATCTGGCATTCAGCATCTGTAACAAATGGCAGGTGGTGACATTTAGCACGTTAATGCCTTGTTTGGAATTACCATTGCTGAGGATCTTGTAGAACTATTAAGTTGTGTTCTTGATTTATCAAAGTGATTTTTATATATGACATACTTGTTTTTAAAGAGTGCCTTTATGAGATCTAAAATGAAATGCAAAAATGGCTGCTCTGTCTTATTTTCAAGTTGTATTGATTAGTATTATTTCAATAACTTAAAATGAGTTTCAGGTAATAATGAAAGACTGACATTCATTCATTCTTTTTTAGCTTATGCTAACTGGGTTGGGTAATATAGATCTAGCAGATTGGAAGTCTCACACAAGGTTAAAACACTGTACTCCAGAGAGTAATATAGTGAAGTGGTTCTGGGAAGCAGCCGAAAGTTTTGACCAAGAGAGACGCGCTCGTTTACTGCAGTTTGTTACTGGCAGTTCACGAGTCCCGCTACAGGGGTTCAAGGCCTTACAAGGTGAGTTCATTTATAATGAAATATATCAGATGGGCATGAAAATGGGCCATTATGTTAAATTGCTTCATTATCCTTTGTTCAAACCTTTTTTAACTTTAGACATTCAAATGACATGTTGTTGCTAATATACTGACCAATTACAATATTGCAAATATATCTGGCCACTTATCTATGAAGTTTTATTGTGAATATTTACAGCTGTATTGTGAGTTTCTCAAGTGCTGATCATTCAATAGGAATTAATGAACATATATGTACATGTACATTAAAATTGCTATTATATTGTGATGTCAATAGTTGTGTAAGAAGCAGTTTGACATTGAGATAAGTGAAATTAACAGTAGAAAAAATACTTCATTTCATAATATTAATTCCTCAAACATTGAAATCCTGACCTATTTTCACCTCAGAATATCAGAATTTCAACTTTGTACAAATACAATACGAATACAAATTTACGTATGGCTGATTTGTGTAATGAAATCCATTGCAATTTGTTATGGCAGGTTCTACTGGAGCTGCTGGTCCTAGATTATTCACTCTACACCAGATAGAGGCAAGCACAGACAATCTTCCCAAGGCCCATACATGGTAAGATACTTCGTGATTCACAATAACATTTAAGATGAACTGTTGCGTTCAGTTGTTATTATCTGACAGTAGGTAAACTGAGGCCTTCTCTGTAAATATACTCCTCGCTGTTTGTTTCATACTTGATAAGTTAGATACTCCATGATGAGATAATAATATAATGCAGGCCTAATAGGATTTGAGTCTGTATGCAAGTCTACAGTATAAATCAGCAAGTTAACTGTTTACTGGCTCAGTCGTCATGGTGTCAGCATTTATCTCACTTTATTTCTTCAGATAAATAGAAAATATGCTTTAAAGATGTTACAATGTTAATGCCAAATTGCCAATAATGTATATTCCTTTATTTCCAGCTTCAACAGGATAGATATACCAAATTATGAGACCTATGAAAAAATGCTAGACAAGTTAACATGTGCAGTAGAAGAGACATGTGGGTTTGCTGTGGAATAATAGTGCCATTTCAGTAGTTATATGCAAGCTATGCTGATGCAATACCAGCTAAATACACACTTAGCTCACAGCTGATTGGTGGATTTGAGTCACCTGACCCTCACCAGGACTCAAGGGAATGGACCTCCTGTGCAACATCAAGATGCATAGTGGTCAGGACATAGACCTACTTCATCAATTAGACTACTAATATCTCAACTCTACACTGGGAGTATATGTATAAACTATTTCCATTTATACAAACTTGGTATACTCACTCTAGCAGCAGAATGTAGAGGCGAGCATTTTAAGGAAGTCCAATGTAGGATGATAACCATTATCTTATAGTGTGTATGGAACTGAGTTATTTAATCTGAAGAATGGTGCTATTGTAGCATCTAGAACTCTCTTAGTACATGTAGTGATTCTGATTATAAAGGACACAGTATTAAACAGTCTGGGCCACAGCCTTAAGAAATGGCTCACATGAATTTGAATTTGCAACATGTACAGGATTTAACGGGTGAATTGTGCCTCGTGGACTAGTATGTGTTTGATGCTTTTTCAGCATAACTAATTGAGGCTTTGATGCTGTGGGCACACATAGATAAATAAATAGCCTGCTTTAATGAAAGCATTATTGGACTCCATTGGTTTATTAACCACAGTTTCCAACCAGGTGTGACCAGACATACATGGTCCCTGGAGCTAAATCTAACTCCATTGGCCGTGTTTTCATAAGGTTGTGCTCAGGACTGTTCTGTACAGACAAATACCCATATTCAATGTTCAATTTTCTTCAATGTGCAAGTTTCCAAGTTCTTTTTTCCAATAGAAAACCAATAAACTTTGGTTTCTTTACAATTATAGAATGAAAACCTTTGTTAATAAGAATACTGAAACCCCCAAATTTTATAACATTACTAAAATGAGAGGCTCGTAAGTTGTAAATAAGAAATCTCACTTTGAGTGAACCTACGCAGATGTTACCAAATCCCTAAATGAACCAGGGTGTATAAGACTTTAAAAGCATATTTTGAGCTTTTATGAGTTCATACATCATTGAACCACCTAAGACTTACACAACAACAGTATGCTACAAATACAGTGAAACTTCAAGGAGGATTGGGTCCCAGGGGCACATCTCAATATTTTCTAACAATGAAAATGTCAGAATGTCGACATTTTCTGACATTATAGCTGAATATGAATTCACAATCAACAGTCCAAAAGATTCAAACTATTGCCAATATCTCAATCACTTCTTGTGTTTTGGAATTTTTTGTTTGCAAATAAGACCATAACTCACAATTCAAACTATTTTGAAGTGAACAAAATGATGGCTGTTTGATTTCGAATTTTTTAATCCCGCCATGTCCATATATGGCAGAATATCGAGTTGGAACCCTGGGAGCTAATCCTCCTTTGAGAAGCTTGCTGCAGTGTATTACTTGCAAAATGCAGCATATTTGGTGCAATTTTTGGATTTTCAGAACAAGTTTAGTATTTAATTTCCAGAAAAATTAGATTCCTTGTTCTCAGACTATTACACATTAAACTAGTTTGAGAAAGCAGAATGGAATAAGATGAAGATCAATTAAATCCTATTGTAAATATTGTATTTATATTGTATTATATTTATAGATATTGTACATTATTTGTAATGTATTGAAAGATCTCATACACACACCACACCCAATAAACTTAACAGACAATAAATCAAGGTAATGACATCAAATTATTAAAGATATATGGAGAGCTATTTTTGGTGTTAGGAGTCTTGTTTTTCTTAAACTATGTGATTGACAATAATCGGGATAAAGATCAATGCAAGATGAACAATAGATTGATTAACAATAGAATGGTTAATCTGCCCTGTTGACCTTGAATGACCTTGACCTGATTTCATATGTTAATGGGTCAGATTTGTTCAAGGCACCCCATCATTATCATTTTTAGACACATTTTGTATTTTTCTTGGAGTTCATATATCTTTGTCTCATCCTTGTCGCATTTTTTTCAAGCTAAGCATGGTTCCAATGAAATCACATCGTCGGTTCCCACACTCAATCACTATGTTCTGAGGATAGGTCCGAAGGTTGATGAAGCAAGATGATGAAATCAGGTGTAAGAGAAATGAATTGCTTTAAACAGTTTTTCAAGTTGATAAGACTCACCTTTTGTCACAGATCAGATTGTTCTGCCTAGCTATAGAGCACATAAAACAAATTACATGCTTTATGAAGTACATGTGACATAGATCCCAATTATCCTATCATTCAAATTTGGGTTCACTGTATCTACAACATCATTTGTATTATTTTGTACAACTAAATGTTTGATATTGAATAAATGATAAAATGTACTGATTTATTTGTCATTTGCTCATATTCAGTTGTACCACTTGGAGTAAGAACAAGAAGCACAAATCCACTCAATTTGGGATTTTACATTACATACTGAGGTATCAGTCGTATGTATCCTTTTGTACTTCCTAAGAAAAGCAGCAATATTGGAAAAATTCACTTCAGATTGTGGAGGTTTTGAGATTCGTTTTATAGACAGTCCATTTGTAACATAAGCGGTATTAATTGAGACATTTATATTGTTGATTAAAACCATCAATCTAAATCGCTTGTATCAAACTTTTGTGTATTTATTCTGTGGATATTAAAGGTAAAATCAGGTGGGTTGACAAAATTGCATGAAATATTCACAATTAAAAGTGCCAAAGATTGGATTGCAAGCAAAAAAATATTTGTAAAATTGTAACAGCTTTTTTGTTTGAAACTTAAATCTATTCTTGAAAAATTACCAACAACTAGTGTTGTTTTACAGCCTGACTGTTGTTGCATAAAAACTGATTGATGTTGTTAAACAACCTCTCTGGTGTTGCTTAACATCTGACTGGTGCTGCTTAACTGACATGTTGCTTAACAACTGACTGGTGTTGTTTAACAACCTGTCTGATGTTGCTTAACAACTGACTGGTGTTGCTTAACAACTAACTGGTGTTGCTTAACAACTGACTGATGTTGCTTATCAACTCACTGGCATTGCTTAACAACTGACTGGTGTTGCTTAACAACTGACTGGCATTGCTTAACATCTGACTGGTGCTGCTTAACTGACTGGTGTTGCTTAACAACTGACTGGTGTTGTTTAACAACCTGTCTGATGTTTCTTAACAACTGACTGGTGTTGCTTAACAACTGACTGGTGTTGCTTAACAACTGACTGATGTTGCTCAACAACTGACTGGTGTTGCTTAACAACTGACTGGTGTTGCTTAACAACTGACTGGTGTTGCTTAACAACTGACTGGTGTTGTTTAACAACCTGTCTGATGTTGCTTAACAACTGACTGGTGTTGCTTAACAACTGACTGGTGTTGCTTAACAACTGACTGGTGTTGCTAAACAACTGACTGGTGTTGCTTAACAACTGACTGGTGTTGCGTAATAACTGACTGGTGTTGCTTAACAATTGACTGGTGTTGCTTAACAACTGACTGGTGTTGCCCTTACAACCACACTGGTGTTGCTTAACAACCACACTGTTGTTGTTTAACAACCACACTGTTGTTGTTTAACAACCGATTTGTATTGTTTAACAACTGATGTTACTCAACAACTGTTTTACTTAACCTGACTGGTGATACTTAAAAACTGTTGCTTAAAGGGTGACGCATATCGTTTAGCAAATCGAACGCTCGTTTCTGGTGTTGCTCACCGTTTAGTATAAAAGGCCCGATCCCGGAATAATACTCAAGGGTTCACAGGTTCGAGGTCGTTGTGTCAACACTTCTAACTGTTATATAGCATAAGTATATTATAGATCGTCACACATTTATAAAAGGGTGATTTTTATTTTGACAAATCAATTCCACATTTATGGATGAAGTTTCAGGATCTTCTATTTGTGTGTAATAAGGAAAAATTGGCATCTAAATTTCCCCATAACGTAATAACACACAGCTTGGCATATGAAATATCCTACAAATGAAACAATTCTAATACAAGGATTTATATTGGCTGTTGTACATGTATTCTTTGAACGCAATCACTCTTTGGATAACGTTTTAAAAATCATTATAAACGGAATACTTTATCTCAAAGACAATTTCAATAAACTTGATTTTACAGAACTCCCCTTATTTCTTAAAAATGGACTGATCCAGTTGATTCGCCTGGAGCCGCCATATTGTTTTTATACGGGATGCTAATCGGAACCCTTTAACAGCCTGACTGGGTTGCTGAAAAACCTAGTTAGTATTATTATATTCAAGATATGAGCATGCCTGTTGAGGCTGATAACCTTCAAAACCAATCCCATGAAGAGTGCTACAATCCATGGGAAACTCCATTGTGTTTCTTATCAGTTTTGTTTCAATTCATTTTTATATAAATTCTGTATGCTTCTATTTTGTTGTTATTTTTACACCTGCTGTCAAAATGAAGTTCCTCTGTGTACTAGTTCTCCTCTTTGGTGTTACATTTGGTAAGTGGAACTGGTATAGCTTCTCACATCACTCATGTACAGCAGTTAATGTATACAGCATGAATGATCATTTTCATTTTGTAACTCCTTTTCAGACAGACCTAGGTCTAACTTAATATTTATTTCTCTTTTAATATAAAATTCTTATGCCATAGCATCCACAGAAATAACAAACTGAAAATGTATGTTCATAAGATGCAAGATAATACATTATCCTACACTTAGTGTACTATATGTATAATAACATAAAAAAATAAATTTGATATCTATTGGCAAAACGAAAAACCGGAGGATATCGCTACGATATACTCTGGAAAACCAATATGCGGAGGATATCATGGCGGAGGATATCATGGTGGAGGATATCGTGACCATATACTGCGGTAAACTAATATGCGGAGGATATCGTGGCAATATGCTCCGATAGTTGATTTCCCGCCAAATCGAGCTGTTTGACATGAAATTTATTTTTCAATGATATTAACATGAAGTACACTACTAGACTAGTAAATGCAGGATAAAAAGAACATCCTATGACTTTTTCAGAATATCATTTTAATCTACTCAGTGATATTGATATATGCACTTGTTCGCTTCATTCTCTCGTTCAGATAGCAATATCACCTCAAAGATAAAACTGATATTCCTCAAAATCATAGGATATCCTATAATTATTTTATGGTTTCTATATTCTTTTGATTATCCAAATGCATGTATTTAGCCCAAGAGGAAGAGTGTAACGAAATGTAGGCCACTCCCAGGAGGCTACGATGTTTACATTCTAAGGTTTAACCATTCATTCCTGTATATGTGTATGTAGCCCAGGACGAGCAATGTGATCTTGAATGTCGAACTGATGAAATAGATGGTTTCAACAAGGGCACATGCACGCCCCTTGACGAGAATAAACCCAATGTCTGCTCCCCTGGATTAGAAGCCCTGCGACCTGATCTATGTGCAGAGGGGCAGGTTTGCTGTTGCTACCAATAAGGTAAACATATTCTCCAATACATGAACAAGGTCAGCGCCATCTATCCCTATTATAGAGATGGAAAAGGATACATGGTGTTGACCTTGATTTTAATCGATGTTTCGATCGATGTGGGAAAGGTTCTATGTGTAATGTTATTTTTCGAGTTGCATATA